GGCCCGGTTGCCGGTTGCATGGCCAGCTCTTGGTGGCTCCATCAGGGAAGATCGTGTAGACAGGCTGCCCCCTGCAGCTTCTGCCACCCCCACCCTCATCAGGCAGCAGAGCAGAGGGGCTGCTGATCTCGGATTGTGAACCTTCCCAACCTTCTCTTCCCATGTAAGGAGCCTGTGTCAAGTCCTTAGCTGTGCTCACGAAAAGCTGAGTGACCCACAGGAAGCCCAGTGCTGTGCTGTGTGCTCTCTGCAGCCTTCCTCATGCTTCGTGTCTCAGGGGGGAAGTCTGCCGTGGAAACTGAGCCCCTGGTGGATGCACCAGCCAGGGGTTCCCATGGGGGAGGGGCCCAGGAGATGTGATTTGTCCTGCTTGACCCAGGATGCCCCAGTTGTTATTCCAGGACTCCCTTAGTCTCTGACATCCTGGGACTGTCAGTCCTGGGTGAATAAGGAAGTGTCACTTGGAAACGTCATGAAATCAAACACCTGGGGAGCCTGCTCCCTGGGACGGTGGTGGCACAGCTGAGGGTTGAAAGGCTGTGCCTGAGGTCTGTGAGGGCCTGGGCGGGAGAGAGGGAGCTGCTTATACCCCAGAAAGTGGGGAGAGCCTCAGTCTGCCACAGGCTTGGATCCCACGCCCTGCTGAGCCCAGTCAAATCCTGGCACCAGCAGTGCAATTGCCATAGATCCGCACGTGAATGCGGTGCCAAGAACTCAGCCCAGCAGCGCTGAGAGGAGCAAGCGTGTGCTTGGGGGTGGGGCTGGGGACATCACAGTGGTGTTCTGAGGCTGCGGGCCGGTCTCCTCCCTCATCCTCTGCTCTGCAAAAAGCTGCTGCAGGAAGAGAAGTGGATGGAAGGTGTAATGACACAAGTGCGTGTGCCCGAGTGCAGTCTTTTTTCTTATTTCTTAAGGAGAAAATCCGAGATGAAGTGAAGACCATGGCCTGCTGGCCAGTGTTGCAGCCCTGTCGTTCCAACTGCCTTAGGGTGGAAACCGTGTTTGTGGGTCTCACTGTGTGCACTCACTGGGACTCTCAGTCAGCTTTAGTGGTCTCGGCAGGGGTCAGGATCATTTGAACAAATGACCATGGGGCTCCCCTGTGCAGTGGGGCAGATGTAACAGGCGCTGGCACGCGCAACACTGAGACAAGTGAGTGAGAAGCTTCGCGCCCTGCTCTTGCCATGGGGCCTGCTGCACAGGCAGCCTCGAGAGGCCCCAGTCACTCCTCACTTCCCGACACTCTGGAAAGGATTTTTTAAAAGATTTATTTATTCATTTTTTAAAAATATTTATTTATTTATTAAAAGATTTTATTTATTTATTTGAGAGGTAGAGTTACAGACAGTGAGAGGGAGAAACAGAGAAAGGTCTTCCGTCTATTGGTTCACTCCCCAAATGGCCTCAACGGCTGGAGCTGTGCTGATCTGAAGTCAGGAGCCAGGTGCTTCTTCCCAGTCTCCCATGTGGGTGCAGGGGTCCAAGCACTTGGGCCATCTTGTACTGCTTTTCCAGACCACAGCAGAGAGCTGGTTTGGAAGAGGAGCAGCTGGAACTAGAACTGGTGCCCATATGGGATGTTGGCACTGCAGGCAGAGGATTAACCTACCGAGCCACAGCGCCAGCCCCTGGAAAGGAAATTAAAATGGGAATCAGCAGGCACACAGGCCTTGCAGAGTTTGAGTAGCCCTATAACTTGTCCTGGTGACTTACCCAGGAATTAAGCACCTCAGGGTGGTCTTGAGAAGTTAAATATAGCAAGATCTGGGAGGGGCTGGCCTCCTGGCAGCTCTCAGAGCCTCACAGAGAAGTCAGGTTGTAAAGGGCAGCTTGAATGGTGTTGGTTTTATAAGGTCTGTGAGCACACTAACTTGGCGGTGCGAACGTGAGAGGCCAGGGGAAAGCTTCAGTCCACGTTCCCACCTGGGGTGGAGCCGCTGCCTCTGTGTCTTGCGTTCCCAGCCTGGTGCCTTAAACAACTCAGGAATTCCAGAAAACAAAGCTCAGTGAGCCTCGTGCCCTGGGTCTTCTCAAGTGCACTTTGAAACTCAAGAATTGAGGACCGAAAGGAAGTTCTGGAAGCATCACAAATAAGGTCACTGGCTTAGAAATTGTGCCTGTGGCTTCCCACGACCTCAGCACTGGGCACCCAGCAAACAGATCTCCTTCAGCAGGTTCTGGACGTCCGCTGAGGCCAGCTGTTGAGCTGCGGGGGAGCCTTCTGGACGGCAGTGACTGTGCCCAAGCCAGCGGTCCTCACCCTTGTTATCCTCCTGGTTAGTCATGGTTCAGCCTCTCCTGGAGCTGTGCGTTTGAATGGGTGTGCAGGTAGCCGTGGGCGCTGGAGTGTGCGTGAAGGGAGGCCGGCCCGGAAAGCATGCAAGGAAGCTGCAGGGTGGCTCTGAGGAGATGTCGGCTCTCTCTGCTGCCCCTTTGAGGCAGAAGGGGTTTCCTGGCTGGGCCTGAGCGTTGGACTCTGTCCAGGGTGTTATAGGCCGTATCTGGGCACAGCTGACACCTGGGAGCCAGTGACTCCAGTATCCCTGGGCTTCGGGCCAGTCTGTCTTCAGATACAGATTCACCGGGATTTAAAAATGAAGTGCAAGAGGTTTCAAGACAAAGTGAACAAATAAAGCCCAGTTTGCCGTTCTGAGAGTGAATGACAGGGTGCCCTGTGGAGGCGGGACTTCATCTTCTCAGGAAGAGTGGCTGTGTGAATGTGTGTGGGATTGGCTGGGCGCTTCTGCAGGTAGGGCCACACTGCCGTGGCCACACCAGCACTCTGGCAGCATCAGCCCCTGCCACTGGCACCGTGATGGTTTTCATGACTTGCGGATTTATCAACTTCTCCAAGGAGCTAATTTCCAAATATTTCTGGAAAAAAAAATGGCAAAAGCATCATCCATGTGACTACAGATTAATGGAGTGCTGCCTGTGATTGCAAAGTGAGATGTGTTTTCACCCCAGTAAGTCTGGGAGTGACAGAGCAATCAGATAAATGCAGGGCAGGTGTGCTAGTCTTGCATGTTGCGGTAAAGCGATGGAGAGAGAGGGTGGGCTTGGGGATCTGATGCCAGAAGCCAGAGACGTTTGACGGGCATCACCTAAGCCAAGTCTGAGAGACGAAAGGCAGTGACAGGAGCCCTCCTGGGCAGAGAGGTCAGCAGAGCCTTCCCGGTGGAAAGTACAGCAAGGAGGCCGTGGGCCGCAGCAGGAAGCAGGGGAGCATGGGAGGCACAGATGGAAGAGCAGAGCACCCTGCCAAGGCGGAGGACTGGGGGGCCAGCCGGGCCTCTGTGGAGGAGGCAGGCCTGGGCCAGCACAGGATCCGGAGATGTCCCAGCACTCAGTATTTGGCCACTAGGAATTCACATTCTAAGCCCCTGTGGTAGAGGCAGGTTCAGCACAGTCGCAGTGGGTGATGCGGGTGGGAGCCTCTGGCCTGCAGCCGCCCCAGCCACACAGCTGAGCCCGCGAGGCCACCTGCTGTGTGCGGCCCCTGCTGTGCTTTCTCCCCCTTGGCTCCCAGCAGTCGTCTCCCCGCCGCCTGGGCAGCAGGAGGTGACGAGGGCTGGGACCAGGTGCATGGTCAGCGCCCTGGCCAGGCTGAGCCGGCGTTGTCTCACGCTGCCTTCAATCCCTGCCCCATGAGGAAACAACGCCTCGGCACGGCCCAGGTGCCTCATGGAAGGGGAAGTGCTGGCTCTGAACGGCGGGCAGTCTCCAGGGCTGGGGTGGGGCTGTGACGATGACACCACCAGCGGCCGGCGACAGCAAATAGCTTTGGCCCGGGACCCTCGTGGGAGCTCTGGAAATGGCTCTCAAGCGACTGTCAGGCAGGCAGGGCGCCTGACACACAACCCCCCACAAATGGCCACTGGTCCTGGTGGCCCAGGATCACAGGCAGACTCTGTGGGCACCAGCGTGGGGCCAGGATCAGCCAGAACACCACCCTGAGGTCCATTTTAAAAAGTCAGAGGCTGGCGTTGTGGCACTCTGGCTAAGCCACCACTTTTGATGCTGGCATCCCATATCAGATTGCTGGTTCAAGTCCTGGCTACTCCATTTCTGACCCAGCTCCCTGCTAATGTGCCTGGGAAAGATGTAGAAGATGGCCCAGCTATTTGGCCAATCATGTGGGAGATCAGGATGGTCTTCCTGGCTGCTGGCTTTGACATTTGGGGAGTGAACGATTCCCTCTCTCTCAATATTGCTCTGCCTTTCAAGTGAAAAATTTGTTAAAAATTGAACCAGGCTAGTGTAAGTGAAGCTAACATAGAATGTAAAATGTTATTCTGTATCATTTCTTCTCTGCTAAGAACTGTCTCACAGGGGGCCGGGACTATGGCATAGCAGGTTAAGCCACTGACTACAGGTTAGTGTCCTAGCTGCTCTATTTCCAATCCAGCTCCTTGCTAATGGCCTGGGAAAGCAGGGAAAGATGTCCCAACTTCTTTGGCCCTTGCACCCATATGGGAGACTTGGCTTGCAGCCACTGGGGAACGAACCAGTGGACAGAAGATTTCTCTCCCTCTGCCTGTGCCTCTGCCTCTACTTCTCTGAAACGTTACCTTTCAAATAAATAATTAAAAAAAAAAACTGTTTCACAATGTATATTTGTGTGTGCGTGGGTATGTGTGTTGGGTGTGACCCAAACCATGTTTATTCTGTGGCTTCTTTAATAAGGAGTCCCATCAGTCCTGGGGCCGACACCTGCAGCTCTTTTCCTGCCTGCTGCTAGCTGGTGGCCACTCACCACCAGGGCAGCCGGGGTCCTGCTGGAAAGACTGGGAACAAGGCCCAGAGACCAAGAAGTTCTGGGAAAGAACGCCTGTGTGTGAGAGACAAGATGCAGACTAATGCCCTGAGGAGCCTGCCGGTGCCCTGCCCCACGCAGCCGGCAGCGTCACCACAGGGTGTTTCCTGCCATCAGACCACAAAGCAGCTCTGCGGTTTCTTCCGGCCTCAGCCTTCTCTCAGGACAACAAGGGGCCGCTCCCCCAGGGGGCTGCACGTGGCCAAGATGGGAAAACAGGAGGTCACGCCCTTCCTGCCAGGGGAGGTCCTGGTGCCCGCAGTAGAGGGCGGAGGCCACCCGGGCTGCAGCGAGAGCAGCGGGAGATGCAGCTGAGTCGCCCGTGCGCCACACCGCTGTCCTCCGAGGCGCCCGCGTGCCACGCTGCCCTTTGTTCTGGAGCAGTTGCAGAGTCCGCTGCAGTGGTGAGGAGCGAACCAGAGAGACCGGGGTCCCCTGGAGCCACCAGATGGTGCCTCAGGGACTCGCCAGTGACAGGACCCACACTGCTGAGACCCTGCTGCCTGTGAGGGCCCTCACGCAGAGCGTGGGAAATGGCATCGAAAGACAAGCTTATTGTGGTGCAAAAATCTTTGTGAGTGCAAGCACTGGGAGATGAGAACGTGTGAGTGAGTGTGAGAACGAGTGTGTGTGAGTGCATCCAGACCTGGGCAGCCCTAGCACGGTGTGGACATGTGTAAACATACAGGACACCTCCATCCTGCATGGCCACAGCCACCTTCCTCCCATTCCAGCCCTGAGGACCCACTCACCTGGCCCCCGGTTCAAGAATTTCCTTGTTTTGAGAACGCTGTGTTGCTGCAGCCAGGCGATCTGTGACCTTTCGCTCCCGATTCTCTCGAGGGCCGTCCAGGATGTGGCTGCATCAGCAGCTTGCTCCTCTGTCATGGAGCAGCTGCTGGGACGCAGGACGAAGACTGTTTCTAGTTCTTGGCTTTGGCAAATAAATCCGCAGTGAGCCCTGGTGTTTCTGTGTGCACGATGTCTTTATAAAAACATTTTCATTTATTTGTTTGTTTGCGAGACAGAGACAGAGAGACAGCTCCCCCGCCACTGGTTCACTCCTCAAGTGCCTGAAATGGGGATTCAATCTGGGTCTCCCGCACGGTTGCAGGAACCCTAGTATTTGAGCCTCACCTGCTTCCTCCCAGGGTGCACTTCCTCCCAGGGTGCACATCGGCAGGAAGTTGACAGTGGAGCTAAGACTTGAGCCAGGCACTCAGATATGGGATGCATGTGTCCCAGCCACTGTCTGAAGCGCTACGCCAAGCCCTCCTGATGCTGTCTTCTTCCTCCAGAGGAAAGGGCCCCGGGCCACACAGCGACAGGTGCCAGACTCTCCTGGTGCAAAGCCTTCGCTGTGCTGGGACGGTGCCGGCTGTGGACGGCAGCAGCCCAGACCCGGGCCCTCCACGGGGTCTGCTCCTGTGGTTGTGTAGCTGCAAACCCACCACGCGCTTACTTGGTGCCCGGCATCAGGAAGGTGCCGGAGGCCCGAGCTGTCCTTGCCCTTGTAAGAGTGACAAGCAAGCTACTGCTGTTCCCATTCACAGAACCTGGGCTGAGTGCTTCACACACACAGCATCCCAGGTCATCTACAGGCATGAAGGAGGCAGAGCATGTCGACCACGCATGTAGCCCGGCCGTGTCATGCTCAGGGTGCTGATGACTTGGGATTCATGAGTCCACGCCGCTGAGCTTCCCCCGTCTCTTTCCTGAGGATGCTGAGTGTGGGGGTTCCCCCCTCAGCAGGCTGCCAGCCTCTGCTCCTGGCTTCGGGGCCAGGATGGAGAGCTGGGGCCAGGCCTGTATGTGCAGAGGCCAAGGTCTCCACCGCACTCCAGGGTTTTCATGGACTGCTCCTGTCCATTAGGATTCTCTCTAATGCTGATCTTGCTGGCCTCACCGTTCCAGGCTGGACCAACTGCAGGCAGAGGGGAGGCTATGCAAAAGCCAGGCTTTCCAGGCATTTGGTAGCGGCTGTGTGGGCATTTTGTGGGGGCCGAGGTAAGGGGCTGTGTGGCATATTTCTCTCTCAGACCACAGGGCCTGGAAGGCTCTAGACAGAGCCTAGGTGTCCAGTCATCCTTTGTTAAATAAATGAATAAGTAAAAAAAAAATGCAAACACTCATTCAAACAAATTGTATGACTGCTCTATACAGTTTTATGTAAATGTTGACAAAACCTTGGAAGAAACCCAGAGAAATAAGCCATTTGTGGTACAGTGGTGGACACACATTTTTGCATTAAAAATTTTTTTCTTCTTCTTATTATTACATCGGGATTCTGCATCTGACTCTTAGAAGGGGAACTGTTCTTTCTGGCCACTGATGCCATCTGTTTTGCCTGATTTCAATGACACTTGTGTTGACACTTCCTGCTGCACTTGTCATTGACCTCCAGAGTGGCCCCCAAACAGGAAGTCAGGGGGTCGTACGCCGGACTTCCTGCAGCTCCAGGGATTTCTGCAGTCCTTTGGAACTTGTGAGAGAGCCTGTGGTGAGAGCTGGGGTGCCAGGAAACGGCTTTGGCAGGTGCCCCTCCTTTTACTCTCCTGTTCTAATTTTATGGAGAGTTGAGATGGGGGGAAAAACAAACAACCACCACCCCCACGCCTCCCCGCCACAGCTGAGAGGCTGAGAGGTGGAGCTGGAGCCCGCTGTTCAGTTCAGTTTTCAGAAAGCACCTGCAGGGCAGGCATCTGGCTCGGGGGCTAAGGCGCCACTTGAGACACCTGCAAACCACAGCGGAGGGCCTGGGTTTGAGTTCCAGCTCCACTCTCAAGTCCAGCTTCCTGCTGATGTGTGCACTGGGAGGCTATGGTGATGGCTCAAGAACCTGGGCCCTTGCCACCACGTGGGAGACTCAAAGAGAGTCCCTGGCTCCTGGTTTCTGTCTGGCCCAGGCCTGGGCTGTGGCAGGAGTTTGGGGAGTGAGTCAGGGGATGGAAAATCCATATCTCTGTAGCTCACAAATAAATAAATTTTTAAAATGTACATTAATTAAGAAAAGTATCTGGTTATTTGGCTAGTTATGGTCAAAAATAGGCCAGCGCTGTGGCTCAATAGGCTAATCCTCCGCCTGCGGTGACGGCACACCGGGTTCTAGTACCGGTCAGGGCACCGGATTCTGTCCCAGTCGCTCCTCTTCCTGTCCAGCTCTCTGCTGTGGCCCGGAAGGGCAGTGGAGGATGGCCCAAGTCCTTGGGCCCTGCACCCATATGGGAGACCAGGATAAGCACCTGGCTCCTGGCTTTGGATCAGCGCGGTGCGCCCACCGCAGCAGCCATTGCGGGGTGAACCAACAGAAAAGGAATACCTTTCTCTCTGTCTCTCTCTCTCACTGTCCACTCTGCCTGTCAAAGAAAGAAAGAAAGAAAGAAAGAAAGATAACAGGTGAACTTCCTAGTGACAAAAGGCAGTCATCTCAAGAGAACATCCTTCATAATCAACAACCAAGACATCAAGCAGGCCTCAGTGACGGGTAAATCCACTGAAACACCTGGGGTTTTATTTTACTGTTAGCTCATATCGACAGGTGCCAATCAAATAGCATCCAATAAAAACTTGCTTAAGGTTTTTATTAGTGAGGATAAGATAGACTTGGGGTATGCAGACAATTTCCTGATTTCACGGGCTCCGCCCCAGTATTCTCATTTGCTCAAGGATATCTGCACATCCCAGCTGTTTCACACAACTGCCGTCCAGGCTGCACCCTGGGGACCCCGGCCACCTCAGATGCCGCGGCAGGGAAGAGACAGGTGGCAGAGCACCTGGGGCTCCCTCAGCATCCAGCCCAGATGTGACGTGTGCCTCCACTCTCACTGCTAGGCACACAGTTCTCAGCTGAGATGTGGGAGGGTGGGAAGTGAGGCCTCCCACACCCAAGAAGATGAGGACTAGATCCTGGCGCACCCCACATCTCCTGAGTCAGGCTGGCAACTGGGCTTGCTGACCCCGAGCACTGGTCCGTAGACTCTCACAGCATCACCAGGACCTGGAGCACCTAAGGGGCCCCACTGGCCTCTCTCAGCACCCAGCGCCACACGACTTACTCCTTCTGGGCTCCTACAGACTTCCCTCGCAGCGCTGACTCCCAAGTGCCCGAACAAATTGCATCTGACATGATGGCTTGATGTGGCATCTCCAACATTTCTGTGAAACGTGTGTGGGAAACCACTAAATTCACTCAACAAACATCCATTGCTTATTTTCTATGTTCCAGGTGGTTGTGAGCTGAAAATACCCTTTCCTAACTTGTTGAATATTCCTTCTAAAAATCTCTAAAAAGTTTCTTGTCTTGCTCAGTTGGCTAAAATATCATCGTTTTTGAACAACCGATGCCTGCCTTTTGTGGGACACACGTACCTTGCCTGGATTGTACGTACTATTGAGCTGGAAGGCAGCCAAGGCACTCAGAGCTGAGCTTATGTCTACTGGTGGGGGGGGGGCTTTCTCATTATAGATTTTTTTAAAGGTTTATTTATTTATTTGAAAGTGTTACAGAGAGAGTTAGACACACACACACACACACACACACAGGGGACAGAGAGGGAGAGAGAGAGAGAATTTTCCATCCGCTGGTTCACTCCCCAAATGGCTACAATGGCCGGAACTGGGCCAATCTGAAGCCAGGATCCAGGAGCTTCTTCCGGGTCTCCCACATGGGTGCAGGGACCCAAGCACTTGGGCCATCTTCTACTACTTTCCCAGGCCACAGCAGAGAGCTGGATTGGAAGTGGAGCAGCCGAGACTCGAACCGGCGCCCATATGGGATGCTGGTACTGCAGGCCTGGGCTTTAATCTGCTGCACCACAGTGCAGGCCCCTCATTGTAGATGCTTGATACCAAGACTGCTTCCTTCAGTGCTTACTTTGTACCCTTTAAAATTAATCTGCTGTGCACTGGCCATTCATTTTATGCTGCTGCGATTCTTTGAAAGCAGACTGGTCGGGTGGAAATAATAACTGATCTAATAACGCTGTTTTGGCAATTACCAGATGGCGCCTTGCCGATGAGCTGGTTCTCAAGGGTGTTTGGCTGAGGACTCCATCTTGGGGCCAGCACTGTGGCACAGCAGGTGAGGCTGTCACCTGCGGCACTGGCATCCCATATTGGAGTGCTGGTTCGAGTCCTGTTGCCATCCAGCTCCCTGCTGAAGCTTCTGGGAAGGCAGCAGATGATGGACCAAGCACTTGGGCCCCTGCACTTGGGAGAGCAGGATGGAGCTCCTGGCTCCTGGCTTCAGCCTGGGCTAGCTCTGAACCAGTAAATACACCTCTCTTTCCTCTCTCTCTCTCTCTGCCTTTCAAACAAGCGAACAAGTAAGATTACATCCCAGAGAGCAAACGTAACCCTGAGTTACGGAAACACTGGAGATGCCATTGTTGTCACCTTTCGCTGTAGTCCCCCCCTACTTTCCTGTTTATTATCAGGGTTCTAAGGGAATATGTTCTAATAAAGAAACCCAGTGACCAACACGAACGGCACGCTGGTGGCCCAAGGAGCTAGGCTTTGCTGAGGAAGGATCTTGGGTATGGAGGGAATGGGAGGCCCTGCCCTGGAGCTGCCTCTGACGCACTGCCGAAGCGCAGGCACTGGCAGCAGGAGGCCAGCACCTGTTCCACCTGCCCTGGCACCCGGAGCCCAGCACAGACCTCTTCTCTGGGGAGCAGGGCCGCTCAGTTCTAACGGTGTGGCGGGGATGACCCGAACGCTAGATCTGGGGTGAGCTGTGACCCCAGCCTGACCCTATCCCGTTGTGTGGGTGGGTTCAGGAAGGCGCACATGTGCTCTGGGCTAGGCCTTGAGGGCAGCTGTGGGTCTCTGCTCCCAGCGTGGCAGCACCCGGGTCCTGGGCCATGGGCCGGAGCAGCTGACCTGTGCCGCAGAAGCGCCGGTGGCATCGGGAGGTGGTCGCTGTAGGCCGTTGGACACCCGTGGAGGGCACCCCCCAGCTCCTGGTGGG